ACAAAAATAAACTAATAAGATGTGTAGATACAACCGCAATCAAAATAAATAAAAAGATTGAATTGGAAAAATATTCCATTAAAATGAAAATAGAAAATCCAGAAAAAGGATTTTAAATGTCGAAGTCGAATCGATTCTGAACATAAAAATGTTCAGATCAGATTAAAATACAAAAGATTTTCTCAGAAGATAACAGATAAAAAAAGAAAATAACAATTTATAGACCGCCTCTTTGTCTCCTATGTTATTGTTATACATTTGTTATTGTTATACATTTGTTATTGTTATACATTATTTTCATTTTGTTTATTTAATTTATTTTTATTTAAAATTTTTTATCAATTTTGATTTTGATTATTATTATATATATATATTATTTATATTATTATTATATAGTATATTATTTAGTATATTATTATATTCTAAATTATAAAGTATAGTATAAAGAAATAATTATAAAGATATAAAGAAAAAGATTTCTTTAATTCAAAATTCAAAAAAGTATTTCTTTAATTTTTTTTTTATTAAAAAAAAGAACTTCTTTTCTTCTTTCTATCCCAGAAAATCCAACGAACCCATCTATTTGATGAAGTAAAAAAAAATCCTATGGAACGGGAATAAATGGATCCATTTATTCACGATCGGATTATATTTGTTTGATACACTGTTGTCAATATTAATGTTGAAAAAAGAATACAATGGAGAAAATAAACGAATTAAAAACTTAAATATTAAATTGAATAAATACCAATTGAAATCCAATTGAATTTAATTCAAATTACTAATAAAAAATCAAAAAATAATAAATACTAAGAATATAAATATATAATTACTAAATATATAATTAATAAAGTTCTTAATACAATTCCATTTTCCATTTTTAAATTAAAGTAAAGTAAATAAAAAAACCAAGCAATCTTGTTGTATTAACACTACATAAATAATCGACATAGATACAAAAAAGGCGGATACAAAAATTAAAGAAAAAGGTAGAGATCGGATTTGTTCAATCAATAAAAATTCAAAAATAGAATAATTCAATCAATATAAATAGAATAAATAGAAATAGAATAAATAGAAATAGAATAAGAAAGCTTAACCTAACCCCCCTTTCTTTTTAAAGTTCTTCAGAGAATTCTAACAAAAACCAGCTCCTTGAGGATAATGTATTTATAGACCCAATTACTTCATTTATTACTTAATTTAGTTTATTTTTATTCATTTGCCCATTTTTATATTATCAATAAAAATGGATTTTTGTAGTTATAAAAAACAGCATTCTATGGCAGCAATAAGAAACCAAAATTAGGTATGAAAAAATTAGGTATGAATAGAACAAGAGAGCGGGGGGATGGGGGGATAAGAGAGAAAAGGATTATATAAATCTATAGAAAAGTCATCCACCCCCTCTTTTTCTTTTTTTTTTTTTATTTATTTATTTTGAAATTGAATTTCGTTTGTTGATTAGGATTAAGTTCCATAAAAACACCCGCCTTTTTTGAAATATCCTGAACAGTTCCTGTAGGTTGAGCGCCTTTTTCAAGGAAATATAGAATAACAGGAATATTTAAATAGGTTTGATTCTTTATCGGATCATAAAAACCCACTCTCCGAAGATCTCTCCCCTCTCTTCGGGATCGAACATCAATTGCAACGATTCGATAAACGGCTCATTGGGATAGATAAACAATACACCCCCCCTAGAAACGTATAAGAAGTTTTCTCCTCGTACGGCTCGAGAAAATTCAAAATTCTGTCTATGTATAGAATTATGATGTCAAATAGATTCATAAAATCATCAAATCCATTAGACTATGATTTAAATTAAATACTTTTTTCTTATTCTTTCCCGAAAAAAGAAAATCACTCGTATTCGCAACCTCATAACTCAAGTTGGATAACTCTCAAATAACTCAAAGGAAAACAAAACCTTTAATTAGGTATTTTATTTCATTTATTGAGCGGTCTCTACACCCTTTCTTGTCTGTCTCCTTTAGAATCTATTTTTCGTCTTCAGTCAGTCTAATATAGTTGTTGAGACAATTGAAAACGGTATTTACTTGTTCCACGATCCGTTAGCTTTTCCTTGAATCATTGGGTTTAGACATTATTTCGAGGATCTTTAATCATTTCAAAAATGGCAGCAACATACCAATTTTTTTATTTCTTTCCATCAAAGAATCGTACAAATAGATGGTTGATTCCCCCAGATCCACTTTTGATCGAAATAGTTTTACCAATTCCAACAAATTTTACTTTTTTTTTTTAACTTGCTCGAATTGGATCCTTTCGATTTCTATAGCGAAAATATACTTACGAAGTTGTTCTAACTTATTAATTTTCACTAACCCTAGAAACTTGCCCCTGAGAAATGAATCAACTCGAGCTCCATCATGTACTATTTCCATCATCAAACCCTCTCTGCTCCCCAAAAAAAGAAATTCGAGTGGAATAGAACAAACGATGTCGAGAAAGAGCACCTTCATTTCTATATAATATAAAAATGGTGGATGTAAGAATCCACGGCTAATGGAATCATGTCTTTCAAGTCGCACGTTGCTTTTTACCACATCGTTTCAAACGAAGCTTTACCATAACATTCCTCTAGTTTGGAGCCGGCATGTAATTGATTCAATTCTGAAATCATGAATAGTCATTGATTCAATGGATCCATAATAATCCATATTTTTTCCTTCCATATGAATGGCAAATTTATAAAGTAAAAGTAAAGAAGTATAAAAAAAAAGAAAATTAACTCGATATTGTAGGAATATAATTTCTATTCTATTTCTATTTTCTTTTTTAGAAAAATAGAGATTCGAAATCTTCTTATTCAAAAAAAGAAAAATAGCAAAAAATATTAGAATTCAAAATTTTAATAGAAGATTTTTATTTATTATCAAATTGAAATTTATAAATTTTGAATTTATAAATAGATTAATAATTAATAAATTTAGAAAATATTCTAAAAAATAAATAGAAATATATTATTAATTAATATTCAATATATTAATAAAAATATATAATTATTATAATTATAAATATATAACTAATAGAAAAAATCTTCTTTTTTTAGATTTTATATTTTATTAAATTTATTAGTTTTTATTAAAATTAAAATAATAATATACATTTTGAATATACAATAAGACGAATTAAAAAAAAAGAAGTTCTTTTTGAATCTACATTTTCAAAGCGACTCGATTTAGAGACGAATCATTAAAAAAAAAAAGAAGAATCACATTCTACCCAATATTATATACTCTTAAACAAATAAACAAAAGGTTTCTCAAAAAAGGACAATTTGATTTTGATTATGATATAGAATTTGTATTCAGATATGATATATATCATGAATGGATATGCTCTGGGACGGAAGGATTCGAACCTCCGAATAGCGGGACCAAAACCCGTTGCCTTACCGCTTGGCCACGCCCCATTTCTATTTCTATTCGACACTACTAAACACTACACTATTATTGATATTGGTTGTTCGTCAATTCCAGTCCAAATATCTAAATATCTCTAAAGAATAAATTGTTGCTAGAATTTTGATATGTCTAGATATAGAATTAAACTGAAATTATTGATCATTATATATAATTCAATTAAGATATTGCATGAAAGTCTGATTTCTTCTATTTTGGATTTCTTTTTATTTCAGAATGGAAAGATTTTGAATTGGATAAGTTCAAATCAAAGAAGGATTTTTGGGGTCTACTTTTTCTTATTTGATTCATCATTTTATTCGTAATTAATTCTATTTTTTTTATTTATTCTATATATTCTTCTATTTTATTCTAATATTTATTGTATTTTATTCTATTATTCGTATTCGATTTTTATTATTATTTTGATTTTCCATTTTTTTGATTTCTTTTTTTTTATTTCTTATTGATATTCTTAATTAATATCTTTTTTTAATATTAATTTAATTAATTAATATATTTATATTAATTAAATATTTAATTAATAGTATATTAAAATTAATAGTATAAATCATAAATGAAATAAAAAAAAACGAAATGAAATGGATTTATTAGTATTAGAAAATTCAGAATATATATATTATTTATTATTAATTAATAATAATATTAACTTAATTTGAATTTTTATTAATTTAATTCACAAAAAGAAAAAATACAATTATCTTAAAGAACAAAATGTTTGTTATGCTTAATATCTTTAGTTTGGTCTGTATTTGTATTAACTCTGCTCTTTATTCAAGTAGTTTTTTCTTCGTGAAATTACCTGAAGCCTATGCTTTTTTGAATCCAATTGTGGATATTATGCCAGTAATACCTGTACTCTTTTTGCTCTTAGCTTTTGTTTGGCAAGCTGCTGTAAGTTTTCGATGAGATCTTTAATTTGAATACTGTCCTAGAAAAATTCAGAATTTATTCGAAAAAAAGATTCGAACATTTTAACAATTTTAATTTCTAAGATCAGATAAGTTTTACAGTGTGAATCCTCGTGTGTAGTATAGGAGAATCTATTCTCTTTCTTTTTTTTAATGATCTTGGAGATTGTGTAATGCTTACTCTAAAACTTTTTGTTTACACGGTAGTGATATTCTTTGTTTCTCTTTTCATCTTCGGATTCCTATCTAACGATCCAGGACGTAATCCCGGACGTGAAGAATAAAAAATCATATTTTTTATTCTTTTGTTTTCTGTGTTTTCCTTGCTTGTGCTTGATTTTAAAATATGATTATTATCTATTTTACATCTTTCAATTTTAACTATTCTGAAATCTGAAAAAGAAATAAAAAAAAGAATATAAATATAATAATAAATAATAAATAGAAATATCGTTAATAAAAATAAAAAAATTCAAACAAACAAACAAAAGAGACTCTGTTCTATAAATTCAAAAGGTAAATAAAATACCAAATCATTGATGGAAACGGAAAGAGAGGGATTCGAACCCTCGGTACGAAAAATTCGTACAACGGATTAGCAATCCGACGCTTTAGTCCACTCAGCCATCTCTCCCCAATTGAAAAGGGCCCTTTCTTTTTTTTATATTCTTTTTTATTTAATTTCATATTTCTATCTTATCTCTATATTAATATTATTCTATAGAATTCTATATATTCTATTCTATATATTCTATATAATTAGAATAATAATTTAATAATTTCTATTTTAATAATTTAGAATTGAATTATATATTATTTTAATTTTACTATATTAATCTTAGTATTTATTAATTTCAATTTCAAATTTAATAGTTACTTATTAATTTAAAATTTCAATTTAATTGATTTTTAATTTAATAGAATAACTTATAAATAATAAAAAATTCTAATACTAATCAAAAATCTAACTAATAAAGAATAAAAAAAAAAATAAATAGAATTCTAATAAAAATTTGAGATTTTCAAATTCTACATTACTAAAATGAATTTAATTTAATTTAAAATTAAATAATTCAAATTAAATAATAAATAATATTAAAATATTCCATTTTGAAATTGAAATTAATAATTCTATTTTAATTCTATTTATAATTTATAAAAAATAATTAATATAATTAAAATAAATTTAAAATTAATTAAATAATAGAATAATTAATAATAAAGAATATATAAATATATGTTTAATTAAAAAATTTAAAAGATTATTATAATAATTTCTTATTTATAGAATATAGAATATTATTAAGAATTTTATTAGAATTTATAGAATATTTATTATTTATATATTTATTATTTATAAAATAAAGAATAAAAAAACTTGTTTTTCAGCCCGGCCAGGTTAGTACCTAGCCGGGCCTTTTTTGTTCCCATGAATTCTGGATAAAAATGATTTATTTAATCTGAAAAAAAAAAATACTTGTTATTGAAACAAGATCAAACATAAGAATGTCGTTTCTTATTACTTTTTCTTTTTTTCCGGTAAAGTATCTAAAAGAAAAAAAAAAAAAAAAGAATGGAACTAAGGATTCTTGCACAATGCATTTTTATATTATGGCTTAAGTAGTTTTGTCGAGATGGATCTGTCAAAACACCTTTAGCAAAACAAAATCCAAAAATCAAATGAATGGGTCCTCTTTTCTTAATTTCATTAGATCCCCTTACGAAACACGTTAACACTATAAATTTGATGATTCTTTTATGATCCTATTTCTTTTCTGATTCCCTTGTTTTGTTGGACAAAAGTTCCATTTATATACAATAATCGCATTGAAGCGGGTATAGTTTAGTGGTAAAAGTGCGATTCGTTCTATGGATCCCTTACTAGTTAAGGGATCCCTCGTTTGATTCAGATTCCGATCAAAAACTTTATTTCTTATCTTAAAAGGGTTTAATCCTTTACCTCTCAACGAACAATTGGAGGAATAATATACATTATCGTAATTTGTATTCAAAAAGAATCAATTCGAAATTGACAAATTGAATTATGAAATTACAAAAACATAAGTTTTTTGAATTGGATCAATACTCCCAATTTTTTGAGTATGAGTAAAGGATCCATGGAAAAAGATATAGAAAGTTTTTTTTTTTATCGTAACTAAATCTTCCATTTTTTTGATTTGTATAGGAGAGATTGAAGCAAAATAGCTATTAAACGATTACTTTAGTTTACTAGAGATATCGGCATATTTTTTTAGCTCGATGAAAATGCTTTTCCTAAGGATTCTCTTAAATAGAAATAGAGAACGAAGTAACTAGAAAAAAAAGATTGTTAGAATCCGCCTCTTCTAGATTCTAGAGGGATCATCTAAAAAGCGGGATGTTTTGAATGCATTCAGACAGATTCAGACAGAAGGGCTGACATAGATGTTATGGATGGCATTTTTTTTTTACGTCTTCCATTTGTTAATCTCTTCCATAAAGGAGCCGAATGAAACCAAAGTTTCACGTTCGGTTTTGAATTAGAGACGTTAAAAATGATGAATCAACGTCGACTATAACCCCTAGCCTTCCAAGCTAACGATGCGGGTTCGATTCCCGCTACCCGCTTCTATTATATCTCTATATTCTATTCGAATCTAAATTTGTGTATTATAGAATATAGAATGAATATAGAATTAATTCATTAAATTAATATTAATATATAACTAAAACTAATTAATTTAGTTATTTAGTTTTTAACTAAAAAAAATCGACTAGAATTCGAAAAATAAAATAGAATTCTTTAATTCATTCTAATTCTTTAATTTCTTTAATCTAATTATATTAATTTAATGTAAAATAAAAATAGTCAAAATCGAAATGCAATTCATCATTAAATTGAATACACAATCCCCAGATCACATATTCTTTTTTCCGAATAGAACAATAAAAAAACAATTGTAATGAAAAGAAAAGCGTCCATTGTCTAATGGATAGGACAGAGGTCTTCTAAACCTTTGGTATAGGTTCAAATCCTATTGGACGCAAATTATTTGCATATATATTTAATTTGATTTCTATGTCAAGAAAAAGATTTTGAATGCTTTGAATTTAACAAGAGACACTTAGACTTTTAGAGTCATTTTTAGCGTAATAACTTA